CCAAATATCATACAGTTATTGTACTTTTACATAATTATAAATGGCTGAAGAAGATTTCAAAGAAGGTTTCACCCACTTTTGTAACAGTGCAGTGTATTTTATCTTCGATATTGTGTCCTTCGATATTTCGTCAAATTGCCGCCATTTTAATGGCTCGCCGCTGCAATTTTCCCTTTCGTAAACGGTCTTTGCCATCCCTGCTCGAGTTGCATCTCGGGAGCTCGCGAGTTCTCGCCACGCGCTACGCGCGCGTTTGCATTATTACGTGTGTTCGTGAAAATTTTTATATAAATTTTATTTTTGAGTGAAAAATATAAATGGCGGCAAGCATAAACTTAGAGGGCTTTGATGATTTACTAGAGAACGCGTTAAAGAAAGTCGATCACTGTTTCCATTGTGAGAAACAGACACAAGAAGAAAAGCAGAAATTTGAGAGTGCTGTTTTGGAAAAGCTTCCCGAGGATTACCTTTACGAAGTCAATGAATGTTTAGGTACTGAATCACAGTTTAAGTTGAAGGTAACTACAGATAAAGAAGAGAGAAACGAAGGGTTATTCGACCCAGCATTACTATAGATGCCAACATGACACCAGAGCTGGAGTCCAAGTAAGGACCCCCAGAGGAAGCTGAAATTGAATCCAGCGCCAGAGTGAAAAATACTAACTGCCCATTTCAAATGCTGTAAAGATAGATGCACAAAACGTAACTTTGAATTTCTCTGATAATGAACCATCGAAGCTAACACATTGAGATCGATTAAACAAGTAATTGGTAAACCATTCCAGCTCATTTGATTTAATACCAAATCTTGTTAGTTTATTTAGCAGATTAGAGTGGGACACAGTGTCGAAGCCCCCCCCCCCCCCCAATAATTTTCACAAGTCGGCCCCAGTCGGCAAATTTCTTCGTTACTGTTCGGCAAATTGCGAAATTGGCATTCAGGAAATTGTAAAAGTTAAGAACGAAGGCGATAAATAAAGCGATAAATTTTGGATTTAAAATAATGGTTTGTGTGGTCTTATGTCAAAACCATTTAAACGTATTTCTATTTTCTAGTAATACTATTAGTCTTTTATTTGTCGAAAATCGATGGGAGGCTGAAATGTGAAACCCACGTTTCTGTGCATGTTCTTCGCTCGACTGCTCTTTTAGCGAAGGCTTTTTATCAATTATGTGCGGTTCAAAACTGCCCAAAAGAAAAAAATAAAACTTTAGTGTCTTGAATGTAATTCGATTTTTGACGACTATATAGAAACTTTATTATTTATTTCACGAGGGAAAACGTATTAACCATAAAAGTTATCTAACATACGGCCCGACGATTACCGTAAGAGGCACGAAACCGAGTGCGAGTACGCCGAGTAGCACATAAAGACGTACCAGCTAATCCGTTTGAGACTGCAAACCGCAGTCAAAGCCAAAGAGAATATTTTGAGTCGTCAGAGGCGCAAGATCGTCAAGAAGACTCCACAGGCACCGATGAGAAGAAGACCAAGAGAAAGACGAGGCATGCCATAAGAATGGACTTGTCTTCTTTAGTTCTTTAGTTCTTTAGCGAAATTACTGTTAACTCTTATCAGCCTACTAGAAAATACATGCATGCAGAAACCCTCGCCTTGCTGACAAAACCATTGTATTTTCCAAACATGAAGTATCCAAAGTTGTTGTCATGGTAATAA